GGTGTTTTGAGGAAGACTGTAGGAAGTCTATGTACCAGTTATTTGAGCTCGTTACAATGCCTTCATTTTGTTCCCATCTCATTTCTTTTTCCTGACCCCCCCATGACTTCAGATCTTAGAACAGTTATTAGCATTAGGTCACCTTTGTTGTGTGTGTGTGTGTGCGCGCGCGCGCATGGCATGTGTGTGTGTATGGTGTATGTGTGTGTGCATGTGTGTGTATGGTGTATGTGCATGTGTGTATATGTGTGTGTATGGTGTATGTGTGTGTGCATGTGTGTGTGGTGTATGTGCATGTGTGTGTGATATGTGCATGTGTGTGTGTGGCATGTGTGTGTGTGTGCATGTGTGTGAGAGTATATACACACCTATGCATGTATTGAGACAAGAGAGGACATTGGGGATCTTGTTCTATCATTCTCTGCCTTATTCCCTTGAGACAGGGCCTCTCACTGAACCTGGAGCTAGACTGGGAGCTAGACTGGTGGCCAACAAGCCCAGCCATCCTCCTGTCTCCACTACTGTGGCTCTCGGGTCATGGGCACAAGGGTGGTCACATCTGGAGAAGGGAAAAAAGCCATGCTGTTTGAGTGAAGCTGGCATGGAGCTCAGCCAGCTATGTGGTAGACAGACAACATAACGTTGGAGGGAGAACTTTTGAGAAAGAGTGAGGAGGCCCTAAGTGCCAGAGGAAGCATGCTCAGAGCAGAGGTAGGAAGAAGAACAGGAAATATGATGTTTTTCTGAGTAAGTCAGAGAAGTGGGATGATTTCAGAAGCCATAGCACTGCAGCCCATAAGATGCTGTGCTAGTCAGGGGGTAGGCTCCTGGGAAGGAGTGGTAAGTACATTGTCTCTTTAAAGGGATCATTACTCTATCTCTTCAGCATGACTTAAGGTGAGACTGCATTCCTAGGGTTGGGCTCCTAGGCTTGTCATTGACCTGCCCAACTGGAAGCTTAGGTCTCTTCCCAGGCCAGAGGTTTCATCCTCTTGACCAGAAAACAAAAACCAAAACCAAAACAAACAAAAAACAGTTTTCCCTTGGTGGGTCTTTGTTATTGCTCTTGATGCCATTCATCTATGTTTAAATGAAGCTACCCAGTGTCCTCACTGAGCTGGATGAAACACTTTGTGTCGTGAGGTAGGGTCTAACCCAGTTCCAGCTCAGATGACTCTGGACCCTGTAGCAGGGATACATACTAGGAACCAGAAATACCTCCACCTTCTTTGCTGGTGGATCATAGAAGGCATAGGTACCTCTCCACTGAACATTCTCTTAGTGCGTTTGTACAGTTTTCATGTGGAAGACTGTGTGCTCAGCAGTGTCTGCGTAGCATTAGAGGCAGACTCCAATGAGGCCGCATGCTGTAGTAGAAAGGGCACAGGATGTGGAAACCCTTAGGCTTGGCATGGGACTTCAGTTCTGTCCTTCATCAATAGCATAACGCTGGACAAGGTACTTACGTATCATAATCTACAGTGTTCTCATTGACCCAGAGGTATGTCTCTCCTGTAGGAGAGTATCTGATAGGTCACTCAGCTTACCAGGCAAGCCTACCATACCACCTAAGCTGTTTCGAAGAACTTGCCATGGAGCTCAATGGTGAGGCTCAAATGTCTATTTCTTGGGAGAAACAAGGTAGGGAAAGTCCCATCAATTAGAAATAAGAGGACCCTAGTACAAGGGCTTGTGATAGATGACAGAGATATTGGACTGCGGGTTGCTAGGCAACTTCACAAGATTACTGTGATCATTGCATATGGAGTAGGCTATGAAAGTAAATTAGCAAAGCTAGATTAATAGGCAGGGTGGTAAAATGCAATGCTATCATCTCTAAAACAATTAAACTACATTTGTATAACCCTTGGTTCTTTTCTCTGGTTTTGGACCACCCAAACATAATGCTTTTTTATCTGGCTGGCATTAATGATGGGCTGGTGCAGGCCTGAGCTCTTTACCAGCAATAGGAGCTTGACCTGTCTGCTGAGTCCCCAAGACCATAGCTGCCGAGTAGACCCAGCCAGCACCCCCTTTGCTGGTCTGAGTCATGGCATCTGGTGGGACAGATTGGGCGCCATCTCTTTAGTCCCCAAACCTACTCAGTGGTTACCTTTGTTAACTCCAAGGTGGGTGGCTAGGCACTGTTAGCCTTTGCTTCTGGGGAGCTCCTTTTCTCCAGAGGGGGAGGTTATGATTTAACAATTGTGAATTTTCAGGGCTGCCTGTCATTAGGGCTAAATTGTTTCATAACATGATAATTACTGTATCATCCAAAGTAGGGGGAGCCTGAGGAAGGCGAATAGAGCCAGGGGGTTTATTATTGGTTATCGAGGGGATGTTCATGAAAACATTCATTAGTGCTTCTCTGGAGAAAGAAAACAGGGTGTCAGCAGAGCAGGCCAGCCTAGGCAGCTTCGCCTTGCCTCCGGATGGGACGGGATTCCAGAGGCTTAGTAAAGCCAGCCTATCCGGCCAGCATTGATCTTGTAGCTCGGGTCAGAATTGTGGTTTGGAAATGGGCAGACTGTGATCAGTTCTTGCTTTTGAATCTTAGGGTTTGCATTATTTGCTTCCCTTTCTGTTACTGTGATTTTGTTCTCAAAGGTAATCCCATCAAACACCTCATAATAGTCACTGTCCATCAGTCCCATCAGGCCGGAAGTGTAGGCTGCTTAGGGGACCATAAACTGACCTTTGCTTACTGTGTAACAGAAAATCTGGTTCAAATCTTAGTCTCACAGCTGCCCTGATCCTCTGTTGATTCAGCTGGTAACAAAGGAAGGTTCTTGGGCCCCATGCATACATGTGATTCAGAGTCTCCCTCTTCAGTCCCTCCAGATAATGTCTGTGTGTGGAGAAGTTTAGGACACCCTATCCTAAGTGGCCATGCCTTAGGGAGGCATGGGTCTTTTTTGTCTTCATGTTTATTTCATGTCTTCCTAAAGTTTGACATTAGCTGCAATGACTGGATTTTCTTCTTATCTTGAACACGTCTAAACCTCCGAGGATTATGTCACAGTCTGAGGGCAAAAGTCGTACAGGCAACAGAGTGGTGAATGGAGGTGTATCCAGCTTCCTGCTGAAACAGAAGTGAGTATAGAATTATAGGTGGTGAGGTTAGCTTCAGTGTGGAGATACTTTTTACATTTGGCAGTTCGGGGAGACATTTTTGGTTTCACACCCAATTTGGGGGCAGGGTGTCTGACTTCTAGGGGGTATTGGTCCAAGATGCTGTTAAACATTCCATACCATACAGACCAAGCCCCCCCACACATGCACACATGCTGCTGCTACAACCTCTCCTCAAAATGTGTCTAGTCCAACATACCAACAGTGCCCTGATAAGTGTTGTCCTGCAGATCCTTGTAGCACCGTTACACCCGTCTGATGGATTGAGGGTTAATGGGGCTTCATCTCCTTCAGTGTGGGAGGGTGGACAGGGGGATGTAGTAACCCCAGATATGACATACAGACTACTCCTATAGCTTGTCCATGGCTTGGCAGGGACTGAGAAGTTTGCAGAACTAGAGATGGAAGGTGGAAAATGGTTTACGAGAGTAAATGGAAAAGAAACAAAAATCCAGTGGAGAGAGCAGAGAGAAGTGGGCTGTTAGCTGCTTACAGTTACTACAATGCATGCCTGATATGATTAACATGCAAAAAGAGAAGGTTTCCTTTGGCTTATGTTGTGGAGGTTCCTTTGTGTAACTGGTCACTTTGCATAATTGATCTCCTTGCCCAATTGCTTCATGCTGACGCTGTTGCTCTGGGCAAGCCAGCCTACCTTGATATGTGGGTGCATGGCAGAACAGGGCGGCTGCTCATTTCGTGGCTGAAAAGTGAAAAAGAGAAAAGAATCCCAGGGTCCTGGGTGACCTGAAGACCTCCTTCTAGGCCCCACCTCAGAAAGGTTCTATTACCTCTCAACAGCAACATGGAGGAGGACCAAAACTAACACATAGACTTCTGGGGGACATTCTAGATTGGGATTATAGCACTGCCCCTGTTACTTTTGAATTGGGCACCTCGCTGTAGGCATCCTCTTACTCTGTGGAAATAGAGGACAGCCTTTTTAGAGATGTTGGTCGTACCGAATGTGGCTGACCATTCCAACAGTGGCCCTCGGGGAATCACAGCATCCATGCACACTCATCTGCAAGTGGATTTTGTCATTTTCTTTGTTTGTTTTTTCAGTCCCAGTAAGTAGAGTTGTGTTATGCCACACTGTGAGCCTGGGCTGGATTTGTCACTTGCCTTGACTAGAGCGTCCATGGAGACAAGGATGTTGTGTGACAATGGTGTATGGTTCTAGCTTTCCTTTTGTTCTTCGGGGAAGATTTCTACCACTCCGCCAGCTTCCTTGAATGAGGACCCAGGGGTCCAGCTGCCTGAGTCTGGCCCCTAGCCAAGCATGCAGTTCAGTGTGACTGTAGCGTGGCACCTCAGTTAAGTCAGCTCCTCTCTCAGACAGCCCGCAAAGTGTCAAGGAATAATAAGTTATGATTCGTTTAAGCTACTTTTTAAAATATTTTTGTGTGCGTGCGTGCGTGTGTGCATGCATGTGTGTGTGTGTGTGTGTGTGTGTGTCTGCGCACATGTGCGCACAGACTCACAGGCTAGAGGTCAACCCTAGTGCTCTCAGGGCCTATTCACCGTGCCTTTGGGGCAGTGTCTCTTACAGGGACCCGGGGCTCCTCAATTAGGCCTGACTGGTCAGCAAGCCCTTGGAGTCCACCTGTCTCTGACTCCCCAGCACTGGCGTCACAGACACGTGCCTGTCTTTTCATGTGTGCACTGGGGATCAAAGTCAGGTCCTCATGCCTGTACCATCAGCACTTGCCTTCTCTCCAGCCCCCCTGCCGAGGTTTGATGGACAGAACTAGACAGGCGGACATTGCAAGAGACTACACGGGCATCTCTTTGCCTTGAGGTGTGTGTGCTGAGTGTCCGGGTTGAGAGTAAGAGAACCTGAGCTCTTCCTCCTCTGCTTCTTACAGCACTTCTCAGAACTCCTGGACGAGTTTTCCCAGAACGTCTTGGGACAGCTCCTGAACGACCCTTTCCTCTCCGAGAAGACTGTGTCCATGGAGGCGGAGCCATCTCCAACATCACCAGCGCCTCTCATCCAGGCTGAACACAGCTACTCCCTGAGCGAGGAGCCCCGGGCTCAGTCACCATTCACCCATGTGGCTGCCAGCGATGGCTTCAATGACGGTAAAAACCGAGAGCAGAAGAACCCCGGGGGCCTGAAAGCCTTTGACTGTAGCTTGTTGAGGAGACGGGTGTGGGCTCTGTTATTGTTAGCATCCACATCAGCCACCTGCCCGCTGCCTGGCGCTAAGGTTGTAAATGCCAAGAGGAGCAGCATGTACTTTCCTCCGCTAGGCTGCATCTCGGGGAACTTGCTGTCACTGAATCATCTTGCTGCCTTTGACTTGGGCCTAGGGCAGCCGAGCAGCTATGTGCAATCGAGCTGATGACACCCAGCAGTGCGGGAAGCCTGCTGTTTTATGGGATAGTATCATTTTCCCGACAAAGGGTTGCTATGATAATTCTTATCTAGAGAAACCTCTGGGGGCCATCCTCTTAGCCATTTTCTAGCATGTTCCACTGGCCCCATCTGTGTGGGATCTTGGTGAATGTTTTGGACTCTCTTGTTGGTAACCCTTTTGTGCCTATTCTCAATCACCAATGCTGCTGCTTGGCATTGTTGAAGGACGGGCTTTTCTAATTCCAGAGATGATAAGGCATCTTGACCGTTACTCTACAAGCCTTTTAAACACGTCATTTTTCCTGCAAAATGTTTGCTGTGTTTTCCACCTTCCCAGTTCTCCACGTGTGCATGCATTCATACACACACATGTGCACACACACACACACACACACGAATTGTTTTATCTTCTTAGAGGGACAGCCAACTATTTTAAGTACTTTGAGTAAACTTTAAAGACCTTGTTTTCATTCCCGCGTATTATTTTCCCCCACAGGAGGATGACACAGTGAGGTGTAGCCACTAAATTGATCTCTTTAGGTTTTGTTCTGAGCCCCCTTCTGCCATCCCTTACATGCCATGTGTGTGTGGCAATATCTTTTACAGGCTGCTCCCCACATAATGCATGGCCTCATACTTCCCTGTGGTTAAAGGTCAATGCCTATACCCACATGCATAAGGAAGGGGTCACTCCTCCTGGGGAATTCATTACTAGCTTCTAAAAAAATTAGCTTGGGTACCAGTAACACATCTTTCTCTCAGGACACAGAATGTTGTGGGTGTGAAGAATTCCCATTCTCCCCGAGGGTACATTCTTGCTTGAAGGGTAACTCTAATCTAAACAGGGGAAGTGTGTGTGTGTGCTTGCTTGGTGGAAGGGACGCTGTGAATCTGGTAGTGGGTTCTCCATAGCTGGAGCCTCACCCAGATGATCTGATTTTCCTTCTTTTGTGGGGGAGCTCAGGAGCATGAGGACTTAGCCCTCCCCCGGGGTCTGTCGGTTATTCCTGCCTTACACCAGTAGGATGAGGTGTAACGCCTCCCGGAGAGAAGGAAAAGGGAACGGAGCTAATTTGAGGACATCATGGTGTTTTGCAGGTAAAATGAGGCGTTTAAAAAGCTCAGAGCAACATCTACTGCATAGCATCTCAGCAAATCACGTTCTGCTCCCAGTGCCTGCCCCCTCCTGCAGTTCATCTCAGAATTGCCCTCAGATGAGATGCAGAATATGCTCTCTGCTGTGACTAGTACTGTTTTCTCCCCAACCTCATCACAGATGGTGAATTGCTATAGCAACATGTACAGCACACGTTATTTGAAATGTATGAATTGCTTATTTCTCTAACTTGCCATGTAATGTGGTCAGACTGATTGACCATAGGTAACTGAACCATGGGAAGTAAACACGGATGATGGGGAGTTGCTGTCCCCCCATTCCTCACTGTGTGCAGACCAGCTCAAGTAAGTCAGTTGTCCGGGTTTCAGGTTAAATCATGTAAGCCCTAAATTAATCTTATTATATTTTAAATGGGCCTTTGGTGAGTGGCTGGACAAAATGACTGTTAAGATTTCTTCTAATTCTGAGACTCTTTGTGGGGACCCACTTGCCTTCATGCAAGGCTCCTCATGTTCTTCTTATTGCTGTATCTTTATTTGTCTCAATAATTCCTTTGAAACCTCTACCTCTAACCCTTCTTCATTTGTGGGATTAATCTTCAGTGTCTTTTGCATTAGCCACTTATAGTGTATAACAAATACCCCACCCCAAAATTAATGTCTCAGAATGACTATTTATACCCTTGTGATACTTGTGTGGTTTTGGTTCATAATATATCATGAGATCAGAATCAGGTGCTGGCCAAGACATTCTCAGGGTTAGACACTCTACCCTAAAAGCAGCTCTCTAGAGTAGTCGACAGGTCATTGGTGGTGAACTGGTAGCCCTTTATATGGGTCTCCCAATGGGAATGCTGCCCTCTCCCACAAGTGAGAGATCTCCTGTCAGTTACCTATCCGGACACAGCCAGGTAAGAGACTCAGCCGCCCACACAGCTTAGCAGTGATTCATCGTGGTAGGGAATTGCACAAGAAGGTGTCCAGCAGGAGGTTCAGTCACCGGAGGCCGTCGTGGATGCTGACAACCATGCTGTGAAGTGATGTCTTGGTGTCTGGATCCCTTTACCTAGTATTACTATGCTACACACTCTTCATTTCATGTGTCCAGTGGCTCTCATGTTCATATTCAAGGTCCTGGATAAATATGAAGAAAAAAAGTCCATTGCTCTCCAAGAATGTATCAGGAGGGGAGGATTAGAAATGTGCAGTACACAACTCATAAAAACGTTGTGCATGTGCCAACCCTAGTGGAAGTTATTCACACCTGTTCCAAATTCTACGTTACCACTGACTGCCTTGGGAGGGTCATTTAACTCTCCCAGCCCGGCTTCTCTGAGTGCAAAAAGAGGTGAGAATGACTTTTCATGTTTTCTCTTGAGGATTAAGTTTGATAGATTTCATTGTGTCTCGGGGTCTCGCTGATAGCCAGGAAGTTCTTAGCTCTGTTGCTCTGTTATTTACAACTGAGATCTCCAAGAGGACAAGGGTATCAGTAAGACTTTGTAGGGGATTTTTTATACCTTACTTTATTTATTGGGGGGCACATGAGTGTGCATACACCATGAACATGTAGAGGTCAGAAGAAACTTTTTTTATTTTTGTTTTACGAGACAGGGTTTCTCTGTATTGTTTTGGAGGCTGTCGGTCCAGCCTGGCCTAGAACTCACAGAGATCCGCCTGCCTCTGCCTCCCGAGTGCTGGGATTAAAGGCGTGCGCCACCACCCCCGGCTCAGAAGAAACTTTGCAGGAGTTGGTTCTCTCTTTCCACCATGTCAGCTCCAGGAATTGGATTTAACTGAAACTGCCGTTACTCACTGAGCCATCTTCTTGGTCATTCAGTTTAGCAGCCCATGAAATTTAGCAGGTACTTAGCTTATTAGTGGGTTGTTTAGTTTTTGTTAGTTTGTTTTTTAATGCATCAGCTCGGCCCAGAGGATGTGCCCCAGATTATAGTTGTTTAGGGGACAGAAATGAACTGTAAACATAATACTTTTTATTTGCCTGGAGATTATTAGTTATCCTTGTATTTTTCAATTACTCATGTAGCTGTTGGGGTCACTTCTATATTTTGAGCTGAGTGAGGGCAAGTTCCAGTCTGTGTCTTGCAATTAGCTTTATGTTTGGCACTTTGAAGATGTCTGATGAATATTTATATTGAATTGCATAGCCAGTTGTCAAGAAAAGAAGATGCTAAGAGATGGAGCCCCTGTCTCTGACCTGCAGGGTAAACTCGTGGAGGCAATTGCTCTGTTCTCCTCACGCACACACTACAGAGGCAGGGCTTCACCTGTGTTAGCTCCCGATGGCAGCTTTCATTTGCAGGATCAAACGCCGTGCCAAAGGGAAGTAGGTATGCTGCTAATGCTTTATGGCTCATTTTCAAATCAATATCATAGCACACTTTTTAGGTGCCAGGATGACATACGGAAAAAAATAGAACGGACAAGGGACGTCCAGGAAGGGAGGGAGAGAGCGCTGAAATGTGAGTGAGATAGACGGGTGACACACACAGGAATAGTGGAAAAGGAGAAACGGGTGTGTGTCTCCCACGTGTAGTTTGCTGTTCAGGATACCCAAACTGGAGATGGTCTAATGAATTCAGTAGACTAACTTTGCTCCAGCTCCACATGTAGGTTCCGCACACCTACTGTGTGCCAGACTTGAGCTTAGATACTTATGAAACACAGGAGGAACTCCTAATACCGTATTAGGCAGAATTTGAGCAGTGTTCCAAGAGGAAATTAAACTGTAGGAGTTTCCAGGAAAGAGAGCGCACTCCCTGAGGAGTCAGGAAGAGCGGCCTGAATGAAGCAGAGTTTCAGCTGGGCCTTGGCTTGCTGCCTGGAGTCAACTCCCCCCCCCCCCTCCCAGGGCCTCAGATGGAGCCCAGAAGACCAGAAGGCCAGGGCACACCGGTCCTCTGAAAACAGATCCTCAGTGAAAAGATTGTTCACAAAGCAGATTTCCAAAGCTCTGGGGCTCCTTCCTGTTCCGTTCATCAGTTGTCTTCCTTCGGCTATGTCTGGACACATTGTTTCTACATCTCCTCCACCGCTGAAATTCCTTCTTCTGTGTAGGCTTGTCTGGTGCTGATACTTTTTGAAGTAGTTTTTATTTGACCGGTTGACCTTTTTTCACTTAGGGAACTTCTGCTCAGTTTATTTTCAGTACATGGATTTCCTTGCTGATTTTTTTTCCCCTCTGTTTTTGGACTTCCTCCTCCGATGTACTGTTTGGCTCACTTTGGAGACTGTCTTGTCAGGGAATAGGCTTTCTTAGCTTACCAGCATACTCAAGTCAGCTTACCAGCATACTTGAGTCATCTATATAGTCATTAATTCTTGTTAAAAGGACTCTGAATTCATCATGGACATTTCAGCCATATTGGGGGTTTGGGGTTTCATTATAGGAGCTGGTAGTTTGGGGATGAGTCATGGTGAAAACATCCTTTGGAGGACTCCCAGAAAGCAAAAGAACCAAATAGAACTGGGGATGGGGAGTTAATACTAGGAGACCCATTCAGCTTACAGACTTTCAAAGCACAGCAAAGTAACATGACAAATGTAAGAGTTCTCTATCCGGTGAACTCTGGACCCCTAAAACTAT